TTTGCTTCTAGTTTAGAACATATATTTTTCTTGTGTGTTTATAAGAGTTGGTAAAAACTGGTGCCTTTTCTGTGATTCACAAGTGAAATCCCCAGGGCCAGGCTTTATTTAGGGGAGGCATCTTGTTTACAAATTCAATCTTTTTTACCTTCTAGATAAGAGTTGAAATTTCTAATTCTTTTTGAGTCAATTTCAATAGGTTGAACCTTCCTAGAAAATATCCATGTTCTTTAGATGATTAGATTTGTTGGCTTATAGTTTTTCAAAGTCTTCATTTGTAAATAATTTTATTTCTGTAAGCTTAGGAGTAATAGTACCTTTTTTATTTCTACTCTTAGTAATCTGCATCTTTTCTCTTTTATCTTAGAATTTGGTTGATATTTTTATAGAACAAAATTTTTATTTCAGCATTTTCTCTATTGCTTTCTTATTCCTTATGTATTTCCACTCCAATCTGTAGTATTTTCTTCCTCCTGCTTGCTTTGAGTTTCATTTGCTCTTATTTTTCTATTTTCATTAGGTATAGAGTTCATTCATTGATTTGAGTTCTTTTGCCTTGAATCTTGGTGTTCATAGCTATGAATTTCCCTCTGAGCCCTGCTTTAGCTGCATCCCATGTGTTTCGATGTGTTCTGATTTTATTTCCATTCTCCTTGCAATTCTGTTTTGACCCATTTGCTAATTATGAATGTGATATTTGATTTCCACACATTTGTGGGATTCCCACAGTCCCCTTATTGATTTCTAATTTTATTCTGTTGTGGTTAGACACATGTTGATATCATTTTAGTCCTTTTCAATTTTGAGGCTGTTTTGTGACCTAGAAGACCATCCCTCCTAGAGTAGACCCCTTGCACTGGAGAAGAGTGCTTACTTTCCTGTCACTGGGTGGAGTGCACTAAGGATACCTTTAGGTCTGTTGTTTTACAATGTCATTTATATCATCCGTATCCTCTCCATCTTCTAGCTGTTCTATGAATTATTGAAAATAGAATATTGAAGGCTCTAATAAACAGAGCTAGATTTTTTTCTTCCTTTGGTTCTTTCAATATTTGCTTCATGCATTTTGGAGACCTGGGTTTATACATATAAGTTTATAACCCTGTCACCATGATCAAATGTCTCTTTCTATCTACAGTGACAATCTTTTCATCCTAAAGATGATTTCATCTGATATTGCTATAGCCAGTGCAGCTCTCTTGTGGTTGCTATTTGTGAATTCTACCTTATTCTAGTCTATTATTTTTAATCTATTTGTAATGTTGTATGAAGAGTGTCACTTATAAATAATGTATAGAAGTATCATATACCATTCTTCCAAATTGTGTCTCTAGTCCACTTTTAAAGCATTATTATCAATTAGATATAATTTATGTCTGACATTTTGCTATTGGTTTTCTATATATCATGTAATTTTGTTCCTTAGTTCCTCCACTATTGCCTTTTATGTGTTAAATAGCTATTTTTAAGGTACCATTTTAATTTCCATGCCATTTTTAACTGTATTGTTTTTAAAGTTGTTTTCTGGGTTATTGCTCAGAGGCCTACATAACATCTTGACTTACAGCATCTAATTCAGATTAATACCAACTCAATTTTAGTAGCATAAAAAGCTTTGTTCTTATATAAGTCTATTCCCTCTCTTGTTTATTCTTTTATTGTCATGCAATTCACTTCTCTATTATAATCTAATCAGTATAATTTCATAATTATTGATTTTTTTGTCTTTTAAATTGTATTGGAAAAAGGTATTTCAAATGTACATTTGTACTATCTTTTGTATTTATGCAGTCATCTTTACTGAAGTGCCTAAGTTCTTCACGTGGATTTGAGTTACTGTCTAGTTTTTTATTTCAGAATGAAGGATCCCTTCTATTGTTGCTTACAGGGAACCATGAGTCTTCATGTTTCCTGATAAGAAATCAGCCGTTAATCTTAATGAGGACCCCATGTACATATACTCACTTTAAAGAGTCTCTCTTTGCCTTTGTCTTTTAAGTTTGATCACAGGGTACTAGGTATGGATGTCTTTTAGTTTATCATATTTGGTATTTGCTGAGTTTCTTCATTGTACAGATTCATGTTTTCATCAAATTTTAGAAGTTCTTTGTCATTATTTCTTCAACTACTATGTCTTCATTTCCTCAGTTCTCGTTTTAGGATTTCCGCTATGCATATGTTGAGATGTGTGATGAAGTTCCACAGATCTCGGAAGCTCTGTTGATTCTTATCTTGTTCCTTAGACTAAATAACCTTAATTTGCCATCAGATTTAATCGTTCTGTCTTCCTCTATTTTGCACCCTCGGTCACTGTGATTTTCAACTCGAGGATTTCCATTTGCTTGTTTTCCATGATACACACACCTTTAACCCTGTTGTCTGACGGGTGAGGCATTTCCCATGCTTTTCTGTGGTGCTTCAGACGTGGTTTTCTTTTGTTCTTTGAACATTTTTTTTTCTAGTATGGTTCTTTCCTAATCAAGTTTTTTTCCTAGTATTCCCAGTGTCTAGATTTCTTCAGGAGTTGTTTTCATTACTAAAAGTTTTATGTGGAAGTTTATTCACTGCAGTTCCTTTGTTCCTACGTGGGCCATACTTCTTTGTGCAGGTCACAGTTAAATATGAACATTTAAAATAACACAGACTAACAACTCCTTAGGTCTTGTTATTGCTGTTTCTGTTGTTCCTATTATTTATTTCACAGTTCTCTAGAACTAACTCAATGAAGGCTGCATTCTGTTCAGGAATGGCCACTGAAAACTGGTGAACGTAGTGGTCAGACAACGATCAAAGATTCCCTTAAAACCCCGGCATCATGAAGCCTCCCAGCTTTGCCATAGTTCTAGTTCTCTAAGCATATTAGAGCAATACTCCTCCAATCTACAACCCGGAAGTAGTCCTCTTTTCCCATTTTCGGAGTCTCAAGACCAGCCAGAGGTGAATGACGGGGCCTTGGCAAAACTTCCTGGAGCAGCCTGCTGCTCTTTGCATGCAAATGGCCTCCTGGATCGCAGCACTGTCCTCAAGGTTTTCAAAGCTCTGGTGGAGATTGTGTCTTTGGCTTTTCCTCTTAGTATTTTTGGCGACATCTTATTACGTTAGCTGTGTTTATGACCTCGGGCCACTGTTATGTTAAATGATCGTCACTGATTGTTTGGGACAAATGCTCTAGGGAAAAGGCCGTCTGCAGAGAGTCAGCTCTCACTCAGATGAAGACAGGCTCCTGTGGATGTGCATTGCTAAGGGACTGGCCAGGTCTAATGCAGACAGTGATCCAGGTGTGGGCTCTGGGGGAGCTCTCAAGCCGCACTTCCCCCTCCAGGAGCTTCTAGGCTAAACCTTTCGTGGCTGGTGTGATTGTGAGGCTGTGGCTCACAGGCATCTGGGAGAGGCAGAAGGGAATAAGGCAACGGATAAGGCCAAAGCTCACTCCTATTGCTGGGATTCCGTGAGTTAAAAATACAGAGCTCAGATTGTAGAAACTCGCTGGTCTGCCAAGGTCTGGCAAAGCCGACTTTGGACGTTTTGCAATCTCACTGCTTTTGTGGTCAGCAGGTTTCTGCAGGTCCTGCTCTGCCGGTGTGCGCACGGCTCCTCCCTCTGTGGAAGCTCACGTGTAGCTCTTTGTCCTCTGGGTTCAAATGGCCTGTTCGCCAACCCCGACTCTTGATATCAGGTGAAGCTCAGGGGGTTCTTGTTTCCCAGTGATGCTCTTGATGCTCTCGTGAGTTTTCAGAGATTTCAGGATGCTCACCGAAGTCTGCTACCAGGAACAGACTGTGTTGGGGTGAGTGTCGAGTACATGGAAACCCATATTTTTGACGTTTATGGGGTTTAATAGTCTATTTTGTAACAGTATAATATCTAATGAAGAATCGTATTGCATATTTATTCTACAGTGTTGAAGTAGCAAGTGCTTTGAGAAAGAATTGCCTCTGGATAATGAAGTAGGTGCTGGGTTCTTTTGGTTTGTTTGTTTAATTATCAAACTAATGAGATAGTCATTGTTGGTGAAAATCCTCCACATAACCTATTTGAAAGCAATTTCTCTTTCATTCTTTTCTGTTCAGAATGATGAAAGTTTAAAAAGATGATAACTCGCAATAGCTGAAAGAGGAAGCCGTGACTCTCTCCTTTGTCTCCGGAGGCGAAGGTCCACGTTCAGGAGAACAGAGGTAGCCGGCTCCCTGGACGCCAGGTGTAGGATCAGGAGGAAACGCAGGACATCCACACGCTGTCCTCTGCCACTTCAGTCAGGGCATGGTGGACGTGGACCCCCACACTTTCTTTTTCCAGTTGGGACAGATGAACAAGACTGCAGACGGTTTCCCTAGAATGTTCTCCTAGAGTCTGGACATTCCAGACCTTGCCTGTGAGCCCTGGGCCTCTCCATGCTGGTGGGCCCACGCCTCCAGCAGATACGGAAACTGGTTTCCAAGTGAACAGAGCGCGTCAGCCCTTCTCCTGAGGCCCCTCCTTGTTTGATGACCTCTCCTGTATTGAGCAGAAACTGCACGTCTTTGTAATTAAAAGCACTTTAAGTCAAGTGACTGAAGCCTCTTGCTACTTGTGAAATGACGGAGATTTTTTTTTTTTTAAATGGGGCTTTGTGCAGCTAGAGAATATCTAGATAGCAAACTCAGGTAGCGAGGCTGGAGAACACCGACCCGCGAGTGCAGGTGGGGCTAGGCCAGGGAGTCCTTTATGGTGTTAACCTAAGTGTTATCTCTAGAACTTTCTACTCTTAGATGGAATTATTTATTCTGGAGCAAATTAGACTCAATTTAGCATTTATTGTGATATTTATTCAAATTTTACTGGAAGTAGCTGTTACTAGTCTCTCGCCCCCATTCTGTTTATAGTCAGGACCAAAGCCAATTTGCAAGCGTGGGTCTCGCTCCAGAAGCAGCGGGAAGGCCACCCTGGTGTCCGAGTGTCCTTTGTAGGTGAAGGACCCAGGCTGTGCACTTAAGGGATGTTTTAAAATTGGTTCTTTTTAATCATAGATGACAGTAGAATCCATGTTGATAAAATTACACAAGCATGAAACATACCCTATCTTAATTAGGGTCCCTTTTGTGGATATACATGATGGTGGGATTGATTCACTTGGGTATTTTCATATAGGTACACAGGACAGTGGTGTCCGGTTCATTCTGCGTCTTTCCTATCCCCATCCCCCACCCTTCCCTTCATTCCTCTTGGTCTAATTCTAAAGAACTTTTTGTGGTTTAGCTTTCACATATCAGTAAAAACATTTGACCTTTGGTTTGGGGGGATTGACTTATTTTACTTACCATGAAATTCTCCAGATCCATACATTTACCGGCAAACTCCACTGTGTGTAGGTACCCCAGTTCCTTTATCCATCCATCTGTTGGAGGGCACCTCAATTCACAATAGCTAAAGTATGGCTCCATACTTTAGCTATTGTGAATTGAGCTGTATAAACACTGATGTGGCTATGTCATTGTAGTGTGCTGTTTTTAAGTTATTTGAGTCTGTACGAGGAGTGGGATAGCTGGGTCAAATAGGAGTTTTATCCTACTTTTCTGAGGAATCTCCATACTGCTTTCCATAATACTTGCGCCAGTTTTCAGTCCCATCCGCCATGTATGAGTGAACCTTTTTCCCCACCTCCTCACCAACATTTATTGCTGCTTGTATCCTTGATGATTGTTATTCTGAGTGAGATAGAATCTCAGTGTGGTTTTGATTTCCATTTCTCTAATTGCTCAGATGTTGACATTTCTTCACATATTTGTTGACCATTTGCATTTCTTCTGTGAAGTGCCATTCAGTTCCTTTGTCAATTTGTTGATTGCGTTATTTGTGGGGTTATTTTTTTTTTTTGGTGTTAAGTTTCCTAAATTCTTTGTATATCCTAGAAATTAATGACCTGTGAAAGTTAACCCCTATCTCTCACCCTGCACAAAAATCAGCTCTAAGTGTATCAAAAACCTAAGAATTGGACCAGAAACCCTGTGCCGACCAGAACTAAATATAGGTCCAGCAGTCCAATGTACCTGCTCAGAAACTGACTTCCTTAATGCCACAGTCTGGCTGGGCACAAATCATGAGCCACTCAAGCAGGAACAAACTTTATTTCCCAACTCCTTCGAACTCCACGCACGGGCGGCCTTCTCCCGGGACACACCACACACCAACTGGAAATCCCTCCTCTGGCACTTCCCCAACCGAGAACTCCCCAGGAATCCCCTCCCCCAGAACTCCAAAGTAGCAGGCTGAGGCGGACAGCAGGGGTCTAATACACAATTGAATACACAGCTTAACATAACCATCATCATCTCAGTGGCTCGCTTGCTGGCGTCACCTCTCAACCACTCCCTTCTGGCAAAAATGCCATGCGTCATCCCAACTCTGCTGCAGCCCTCAAAACCTTAACAAGACTCCTAAAGTGCAAGAAGTAAAATCAAGACTCAATCGATGGGATGGCATCAAACCAAAAAGCTTCTTCCCAGCAAAGGGAACAAGAGCGTGAAGAGAGCCGACAGAACAGGAGACAGTCTTTGCCACCTGCAGCCCTGAGAGGGATCTGTCAACCAGCCAAACGCTAGTCCTAACTCAGGCCCGACCTGCGGGGATATTGCTGGAGCACTGTGCGTAGTCCAGAGGCGGATGGGAAAGGAGCTGAGCTCGGGAAAGGACCACTGTGTCAACTGCCACAGACGGTGCCCCCTGCAGGCTGGAACTCAGAGTGGCACCCGTCTCCACAGAGCTCACACGTTTGCCCTGCAGCCTGTGCCGTATCCTGAAGCTGATCACAAGCTGCACTAAGAGTCCGTTTTCTGACTTGTTACAGACTTTTGCCACAATGTGGCTCTAATAGCCGTATATGTTCAAAGGAAGTTTACGTTTGAAACATTACTTGGCAACGTGAGTTTTGTCATGCCCCGATGACCCAGATGGAATTGTTAAGGCGTCTGAATTATTAATGCAGCACCGTCTTGCCGATGCAGCAGTCTAACATTTGCCGTGAACGGTTGCTTGAGTCTCTGAGGAGCTGCAGTCCACTCGCACAACCTTGGCCCAGCGGCTAGGAACAGGATTGGCGGTCGCTTGGGGCTGCTGACAGGTGTCTTCAAAGCCAGGGCCTTGATTCTGGACACGTGCATTTGGCTTTCTGATCTGCGTCTCCTTTCAACATAACTGCTCTGACTTTTCCCCCATCACGAGAAAATCCCTAAACCCGTGAGCACGTTTCTGAGAGCCTCGTGAGGTGGCTCTGGCTCCTGATACCCCAGCTACAGAGCGATGGCACGTCTGCGTTCCTGGTGACACCACCCGCTCGTGTCCTCTGGTGCCCAGTCTCAGACGTGCGTCACACGCGGCCACACCACTCCTGGTGGCATCCTTGTGATTCCGGCAGCTTCTCCTTCACACATGGTCACTTCCAGGCACTGTGACATGTCACCAGAGCTTTAAGCCCCAAAGCGCCTTGCTCACTGGTGAAGAGAAGGGATCCCACGTTCAAAGCTGGCTGAGTTCTCACGGTGGACGTCGCAGCCAGCGATCCTGTCGTGGAGCAGCACGTGTTCAGTGGGGAGCTGCGAGGGACGTGGGCAGTGCCGGGCCTGGAGCACCCAGCCTTGGTCCCTGAAGTGAACCCCAGGTCACACGCCTCACCACAGAGACCGTGGGCAACGGAGGAGGGCCACCCCGTCATCTCTGGCCATGACAGACTTGCTGATTCCCGGATGCTCGGCTCCGCTCGGGGGCTGTTAGGGACAGCGAGCGCTTTGCACGTCTGAGCTGTGGGCCGTGGGGAGAAGCATGAGCCTGGGAAGCTGCCCGGGCTGCGGGGAGCAATCCTGCTCAGGGGACAGGAGGGACACAGGAAACCCAGCAGCCAGACGCCAGTGCGAAAACAAGCAAGAGGAGAAAGGGCCAGACAGGACCTGGGCGCATGAGAAGCTGTGTCCCCAGCAGAGGGAGCAGGTCCCCGCTGAGCCTCCTGGTCTTAGGCATCATTGCCCCAGGCTCCGCCCTGGGGACAGGCAGCTGGTGAGTGACACACAGGAGACTGTCCCGCCACCCACCACTGTGCGCTGAGCTGGGTGCCCATCAGCTGAGGGGACAGAGCTCGTGACCCACGAGGTGACCCCGCTGCCTCGACAGGTCCACGTGCCGTTGAGATGGAGGCTGCCTCCTGCCACGTCCTCCACAGCAGGGACCGGACACCATTCCTGGCCGGAGCCCGACAGCGGGACCCTGCAGCCTGGGCTGGGTGTCAGACTCCAGTGCAGACCACGGGTCCTGCTGTGAGAGGGCCGGTTTGTTGCTCCTGACGTTAGGACCTGGCTCGGTGGCTCCAGTGGGGAATCATGGTCAGACTCAGGGTCCTGCCAGGCCGGCCCAGCTGCCCACCTCTGCAGACACCTAAGTGAAGCTTACGGCCACCAAGTTAAGATTCTGAGTTTTAAGAACATGGGGCCACGTGAAGCGTGTGCCTGTCAGTGCCGCTTGGTGATCAGTGAGCACCCCGGCCAGTGACCCTCCAGGTGACACATGTGCCCTGAGGTGGACATCAGCACACCCTGCCCTTCAAGTGCCAGCCACACGGTCTCCCCAGGAGCGGGAAGGAGGAGGCTGTGGCTCACTTGATCTTCAGGTCACCGTGTCTCAGTCCCACAGGGGCACTTCTGTGACCCAGGGGCCCCGCCACCCAAGGCTGGCGTGGTCACCGTCATTCTCTGTGTGCCCGTGTCCCTATGCTTCTTTCCACTGTTTTCAAAATGCCTCCCCATGGACTCAGCTGATCGGCACAGCAAGCCTTTCAGAAAAACAAGAGATTTCCTTATGAAACATGAGATCCAGGGCCTGCCTCAGAATACACTGGCAGAGACGGGATCACAGACCACCCTGACTGCAGGCCCAGAAATTAGGGTCCGAAGACAATCATACCTATAATTAGGAGCAACAGAGAAACAAAAATACTGGTTTGAAAAAGATAGAAATCTGTCTGTCAGATTCATTTCTCTCTCACATAAAAGTCAGGGGTAAGGATCTATGCTGTCTATTTGCATTTGTATTCCCTTTCCAAGTCACCTAAAGGTTTATGGTGACTGCTGTAGCTCCACCTATCACAACAGTATTCCTTGCTAATATGTATGAGAAAAGGACAGGGAATAGCATACTCTATTCCCTCAAAGAGGCTGTTTTGAAAATTTTACTGTATACTTCTGACATAGCCAGTCTGTGGCAGAGCCTAAAATAGAAGTCAAATTTCCAAATTCCTAGATGAGGTTTTCACAACTATCTGTCTCCTACCCCGGTTAGGAGTACCCCGGGGTAGGTAGTACCCGGGGTACTTTTCACCAAAGTTTTCCTTGATGAAATCTTCCTGTTAAGCATATGTCTTTCAGCCCATCTATTAGTTTTGGCTGGTAGGAGATGATTTTTTTCCATGAAACCATGAAGCAAGGTGACTGTTTTGGTTAGACCTCTAGGTACATTTATTTGCTGATTTGTTTTGTCATTATTTAAAGTGAACAACTTTGGCATAAAACTCGAGTTTATTTTCTG